ATATATATATATATATATATATATATATATATATATATATATATATATATATATATATATATATATATATATATATATATATATATATATATATATATATATATATATATATATATATATATATATATATATATATATATATATATATATATATATATATATATATATATATATATATATATATATATATATATATATATATATATATATATATATATATATATATATATATATATATATATATATATATATATATATATATATATATATATATATATATATATATATATATATATATATATATATATATATATATATATATATATATATATATATATATATATATATATATATATATATATATATATATATATATATATATATATATATATATATATATATATATATATATATATATATATATATATATATATATATATATATATATATATATATATATATATATATATATATATATATATATATATATATATATATATATATATATATATATATATATATATATATATATATATATATATATATATATATATATATATATATATATATATATATATATATATATATATATATATATATATATATATATATATATATATATATATATATATATATATATATATATATATATATATATATATATATATATATATATATATATATATATATATATATATATATATATATATATATATATATATATATATATATATATATATATATATATATATATATATATATATATATATATATATATATATCAGACAAGTGGCATCAATAATTACTCAGGGTAGGCAGTCGGTTGCCTTTCTGGAGTAAATTATCATCAAAAGCTTTGTCAATATAATAAAATTATAAAAATATTAATAAAGTTTTCTTATTAATATATTTTAGCCTCTTTATAAAGGAAATCCCACACTTCTCTCTTTCTTTGTAGCAAAAACTTAGCCGTCACTTTTTCCTAGGATTTGAAAGGCGGGGTCTTGCTTCATTTTGTTAAGTTTTTCCTTTTCCATGGATATATTAAAGCAAGTGACGAAAGTCTTTCATTTACCATTCTTTTCTTAGTGTAGCTCTTAATTTTTTTCAAAGCAAAAAATGACCTCTCCACAAAAAAAATGTTGTAGAAGGAATTGTCAAAATTCATTGCAACCATTTCACAGTACAGGGAACGTTTGGTTTAGTTCGCTTTCAAGTATAAAATCAAGCAAATTTTTTACGGATTTATCTCGAAAGACTTGTGCATTATAAATTCCAGCTAAATCCGCATTCAGTCTTATGACGTCGAAAACGTTTCCGTAGTCGTTTTCTAAACTGTCAAATGCACCTTTATCAACTTGGTAAGCAAGTTTTTGAAACCAATGAATCTTGCTTTCTTGTTCTTCAGTATATCATCCAAAATCATACCAAATTTCTCATTCCTTCTTCATTAACTGCAGCTTTCGTGCTAGATTTTGATTCCGGTAAGTTATTTTCTCTTCAACGTTTTACAAACTTTACAAACAAATCCTCGAAATTTTTGATCAGATCTTCAAGTAAATTTTGTATTTCATTGATTCTCCCAGTGCAATATGGAACATTTATAATTTTACTTTGTAAGACATTGAAGAGAGTGTTAGTTTTAATGAAAATTTCAATATAAACCATAAGATAAAAGTATATTGAATCTTTTGTTAGCTAATCGTAAAACCCATTGTTTCTCACTAAAGTATCTAGATCCCACATTATAAGATTATTGTTCATATTTTTGAAGAGTTTGCAAGACTCACCATGACATTACAAATTAGTCTGGATTAATATTGAATTCGAGTTTCATCTCGTTGGTGTTGCCTTTGGAATGTGTTTTCTCACTATCTCATCAAGAAATTGCGTTCGTTTTGTAGAGACTGATAAATGAGGCATGTACCTCACTGTTCTTGAAAAAGCTTGTACATTCAGGCATGAATTTTCCTGGCTGAAATAGATTAAGATTTAACTTATGACCATAACAGTGAGTAAATAAACCTGTTGGTGCCTTTTCTCTTACTTTACCTTGAACACTGTGGATATATAAGTGAACATGTTTAGACAAACTGTGGGTATTGAAACATACAGACAGACGGACATTAATACATAAGAATATTCTTGCTGTACTATGTATATTGATACTTTGCAGTATTATGTATTGCTTCACTAATATATATATATATATATATATATATATATATATATATATATATATATATATATATATATATATATATATATATATATATATATATATATATGCATTATTTTATTTCTTATATAACTAACCCATGCCTCTCATATGTAAATATTTACTCCATTTGATACCATATGGAAACTCTCGCCATTATGTAATATAACGTAAAACAATACTTTGTCAGTCTTGCCTCAGCCTCATGCCCTATTAGTCACGCAGGTCTTGTGTCTCTCCCATTTACTCTTGTGGTGCTCTTGTGCATATTTTGTCGTAATAGATTTTAAGGCCAGATCTGAGTGTTTCCTTCAAGAACCTATATCAAAATGGCGCAGTGAGTATTCCAATGAACATTTTTCAGCTTCTGTGTTCCTTATAGTGAGAGATGAGCTTTGTGTAATCAGCCTACTGATTAGAACCCCACCCCCGCAATTCTTCTCTTTTGGATTAATGTGCAGTGTAAGACTTCTTTTTATAGCAGTGTATAGTACTCCAAGAGTGTAATACCGTGAGTCAGTGTAATGTATACCCCCAGTGGTGTTTTGTGGCTTTTATTGCATACGTATTGCAACAGAAAGGCTATTTACCCTCCCTATTATGGAATTATCGAATGCACTCTCCCTCTACGATGTCTGCATGACGAATGATGCTTGCTGCCCACCAACCGCAATTAATTGCCACTAACCTTCCAGCCTGAGCACCATCACCCGGGCTCACCTGCGAATTTTACCTGGAAATCTATTTCAAATTCCTGAATTTTATTTACTCTAAACTTTACATGCCCTTTTCTACTGCACAAATGCTGATTCTCCTTCTCCTGCCCGTTCTGAAGACTCCCCACATGCCCTGAATGAACTGTATGACTTTCTCACCGCTTCTCATGAGGAATATGAGAAATATGAGGAATATACGACTCGCTACGAGGCAGAGGTTGCTGCACACTCCCTTCCAACTCAGCTAACTCCCAAAGTTACATCCACATGAGATACTAGCGGTGATATCCTTCAACTATTGAAGTTTCTACAAGGTACTGACAATGTCGACTTCACCAGGACGACTTACAACACTGGAAGGAAAATGAAAGATTTACGGCACTCCTACAGATGATGTCACACATGTAGAGTAGCACAGCTCCCCTGCCCACACAAGCTGTACCTAACCACCACACAACCCCAACGGACTTGTCTGTTAGTGTAAATTCCCAGGATACACCAGTACCTCTTGTGACTCCTTCTACGATCCACAGACCTCCTGTTCATCCGTTTGCCATACCTGTTTTCACTGCTACACCCACAGCTGCTTCTCCTCCAAGCAAACCAGTGCCACAAAACCCACCCAGTCTGCAAGCTGAAGACACATTTCAAGATTCTTGCCAGGGGTGTTTGAGATGGCACGAGTTTGCTAGCATGATAGACCTTCAAAAATTGTTACGAGAGAAATAGCTCATAGAACTTTGCACGTGCATCTCCCTTGACCTAAAAAAGATCTGGAGTACACATTGACATCCCTCCAGACACTTCTCTCACCGTGGACAAAATACTCGAATGTTTACAAGGCCACTTCAAGAATCTTAGGGACAAAGCCATTCAATGTCTTGACCTACTTTTGCTGTAAACAAGCTGATGATGAGTCCTTCAACGACTTTTATGTTCACCTCAACCCGACTAAGGAGGTAGACCCGTATTCCAGCGATCTCATTAAGCATACCAAAACACAATTGAAGATGGTGATCCTAATAGGAGTCCGTGATCAGTACCTTGTATAGCACCTTATTTGTCTCAAACCAGCTGCATCCCTCCACACATTGGTCACGGGCTGTTGGTCATTCGAGAAGCTCATACAACTGCTTCAGCTAGTCACGCCTCTCCAAGTCAACTCCGTGCTGTGTCTGCATACAAGAAAATACAACGATGGCAGAAGACGGCCTCCTCCCTAGATGCCTAGCCAAGGATGTGCAATGCCGCAATTGCAACAAGATTGGTTAATACGACAGATGTTGTAAGAAAAAGTCAAAGGTCAAGATAGCTCTTTAGGCTCTGGTAAAGCTACCCTTTCTCCCATAAAGAAATACAACACATGTCGTCACGTGAGTTATGGTTCTACCAACAGGTCTCCTCATCCTATCAGTATACATCTCCTCCATGATGACAGGGCTTCAAGACTCCAAAAGTTACCTGCCACAGGGGCTGATGTCACCATAATTGGCATCTACTACCTCGAACTGCTGCGGACTCCTAGGACCAGTCTCCATCCTCTACCTTCTACAGCTACATTCACTGCCTTCTGACCTCAGATGTCTCTTGCCTTGGGATGGTTGCAGGTTACCATAAAAATTGCTAACAAGTCCTGCATTGGCAAATGAAAATTGCCGAGAAAAACCGGCACCTCACCTCCTTCATCAAGTCAATTGGCAGGTTCAAGCACTGCAGAGGACCAATGGGTTTTGCAGCCACCGGCGACGCCATATCTCTCCGAGGTGACATGGCTCTGCAAGGTATTACAGACTGTGTAAAGGTCGTGGACGGCATCCTGTTCGACAAGGGCTTTTCTGCACACCTGCAGGGGATTCACCAGATGCTGACAAGAAGCCGAGAGCATGGCATTACCTTAAACAAGGACATGTTTCTTCGTGGCCGCCCCTAGTTCAACTTCAGCGGATACACTCTCAGTAGAGAAGGATCCCCATGGATGCGGATAAGGTTAGCGCTATCTGCATTCAGATAGAATGTGTTCATTTCTAGTATAGCTGATAAGCTGTAAGGTCTGTCTCCTTTTAAGGACCTTCTTTGGTGTAGTTGGTAGCACCTTGGATTAGTAATTACATGTCCCGGATTCAAGTCCCGGTTGGGGTAAAAATGATTCATGTTTTCAAAAATGATAATGTGCTTATTTGGTTATTGTTGGTCCCGCGTGAGATTGGGAGTTGAATTAATTGCGAGAACAAATTCACAGTTGAGGTTGGAGGAAACTGTTATATAAACATAGTGGCATTCAGAAAGAATGTGTTCATTCCTAGTATAGCAGATATAAGCTATAATGTCTGTTTCCGTTTAAGATGTTCTGTGGTGTAGTTGGTAGAGCCTTGGCTTAGTAATTATAAGTCCCAGGTTCAAGTCCTGGTCGAGGTAAAAATTATTCATGTTTTCACATATGGTTGTGTTTATTTGGTTATTTTTGGTCCCGCATGAGATTGGGAGTTGAATTCAATGCAAAAACGAAACCACGAATGAGCTTGTGGGAAACTATAATATAAACATAGTGGCATTCAGATAGGATATGTTCATTCCTAGTATAGCAGATATAAGCTGTAAGGCCTGTTTCCCTTTTAAGACCTTCTGTGGTATAGCTGATAGCTCATAGGCTTAGTAATTATAAGTCCCAGGTTTAAGTCCCATTTCGGAGTAAAAATTATTAATGTTTTCACATATGGTAATATGCTTATTTGGATATATATATATATATATATATATATATATATATATATATATATATATATATATATATATATATATATATATATATGTATATATATATATATATATATATATATATATATATATATATATATATATATATATATATATATATATATATATATATATATATATATATATATATATATATATATATATATATATATATATATATATATATATATATATATATCTATATATATATATATATATATATATATATATATATATATATATATATATATATATATATATATATATATATATATATATATATATGTATAAATCTATATATATATATATATATATATATATATATATATATATATATATATATATATATATATATATATATATATATATATATATATATATATATATATATATATATATATATATATATATATATATATATATATATATATATATATATATATATATGTATATATATATATATATATATATATATATATATATATATATATATATATATATATATATATATATATATATATATATATATATATATATATATATATATATATATAAATATATATATATATATATATATATATATATATATATATATATATTTATACATATATATATATATATATATATATATATATATATATATATATATATATATATATATATATATATATATATATATATATATATATATATATATATATATATATATATATATTTCCCTACTTGCAGAAAAGAAAGTAAAAAATTATCACAAATTGTTTTTTTCTCTCTGGATTTCTGTTAGGTATTACGCTATGTAAAATATTTTACCTTACCAAAAGCATGGTGCTGGAGTATGAGGCACTTATAATAACAGGTTGGCTGTATATTTTCCTAATATATTCAAATGTATATATATTTTGAATGAGGTAGATGCAGTGAAGATCTACTGAAACATTTTTAAATATTCAGAGCATGGCATTTTCCCCGAATTTTAACTTGTCTTATATACTTGCTATATGCATAAGATATTTTTCTTCATGGTATTCTTTTTTCCAATTTAAGACAATTTCTTTCATTCTCTATCTATTCCTCCATCTACCAGTCTGTCTATCTCTGTGTCTATTTCTAAAAGGTATTAAGCATCGTCTTAAATTCATACTGTTACACTGAGCATCAACAGTAACGACTGTAGCTTCAGATAAGAAAATGCCTCCTCATCAGAAAATTATTTATTTGTCAGTCCAAAGACACTGCCTCTCTAACACACATACATGTAACATCATGTGCCTAGAGGATGAGGATGCTCGAGATCTGCACCATTCAATATAAATTGAGTACACATGTATACATTACTATATATCAATTCAACCACACACACACACAGACACACACACACACCGGGCGTTCAGTGACACACGGAATTGCTCCTCTTAAATTTTTAACTGTTTCGAGTGACTAAGTGCTTAGTGGAAAACTTTACCATAATTTCCATAAATCTGAAATCCTGCAGAGTATTGTGAGTACAAAAACTTATATTTGTTGTAAGACGAGACTGTTCATATTAAAGGAAAAAAAATTGAGAACTTTTTCGTGAGGAAGAGAGAGAAGCTGCCGTCCAGTTCTGCCTTGAGGGAAATCTAGAAGAGTTGCCAGAGGTGGAGCCATCACATCACATTACCTATTTTTTTGTGTAAACTGGGGAAAGCTCTTAAGCCGTTTTTACCTGATCCTGTGGTTCTATATATTGTTAAAATCAGTATCCTTCCCATTTATATTAACTAGTTAGTTAGTTTGATACACGAAAAAATTGAATAATAAAAGAAAAAAAAATACCAAATACCCACCTGTCAACAGTACTGAGTTAAGTTGCCAAGTAGTACAGCAGTCTTATTTTCTTCATTTTTTTTTTTTGCTTTTCTTTTAGCTTTCTCTTTTACTATTTTGTTATTTTGTATATATATTGAGTTAAATGTAAAGTCTAAATCCCGTGATAACATATCTTGGTTAGCAAGTCAGTTTATCAGTTAGGAAGAATATATAACAGAAACAGGTGGGTGCCACCTCAAACACAAATTCGAATTTTCCTTCAGGTTTGACTTTTGTTTTTCTTTTTCTTTTATACTTAAATTACCATGGTCAAGTTTTTAAGTTAAGATGTGTGTTACCAGAAAGGAGACAAACTGAGTCACTAAATAGCACTTATATGGAGATATAAAAATTCTGTGTGAAGCTAAATTAGAAGTTTTTCTCTTTTCTTTTTTTTCCTCTTTCTCGTCTTCTTTCTATATTCTGTGAGAGGGAGAACATAAAAATGAAGCCATCTCTGTCCCAAACCTCTCCCACCCATGGGTCGGGAGAAGGGGTAGTCATCAGGGGACTCAAACAGAGAATCAAGAAGTTAGAGGAAATGGTTATAAGCCTTGATGATAAAATTCGGAATATGGATGGAGAAATGAAAGAGAATGAAACACTCAGAGAACAAATAAGATCTTTGGAGGAAGCAAATAAAGCACAAGGGCAGGAGAGAAAGGAACTAGAAAAAAGAATAAAGAAGCTGGAAGGGGAAAAGAGTCAACTAGAATCTAAAGGAATTAGATGTTAGTTCACTGCTCTCTTCTGAGAGAGACGAGATTGCTGCTTGGAATGTTCAGATTAAGGAAAACATTGAACAGTTCAGAAAAGAGTTCCAGGAGCTGAATATGGAAAATGATGCCATGAAAACGTCCTTTGCTGATGCACTAAAGGGGAATGTGGCAGTAAAAGAGGCTGTAAAGGTGGTGGCACTGGAAAACATACAAACAGTTGACTATAAAGAGACAGTAATCGAAAAAATGAATGACGTTGTGATGGAAAGGGCAAACCCACTCATCAGACAGGCACTTGATAAGGAGAAGACAGTGGTAATCTCAGGCATAAGTGAATCCCAGGAGCCAACATGGCAGGGGAGACTTGAAGAAAATAAAGCTAACGTTGTAGACCTGATAAGAAAGCTTGGAGTAGCATGTGGTCCTGAGGATATTGTAAACATACACCAACTAGGTAAATATTCGAGGGAAGGAAAGCCGAGACCAACAAAAGTAACCTTTGAGAGAGGGGAGACATGTAGGGAAATATTGTTGAGAAAAAAAAGTCTAAAAGACCTTCAAGAATGCAAAGAAGTGTTCATTAGACGATACAGAACACAGGAAGAGATGGGAAAGATCAAAAACTTGTTGCAAGAGGCAAGAAGGTTAAATGATGAAAGAAATGAAGAAGAGAAGAAAAATTTTTGTTACAGAATACTTCCAGACAAAGGGGAGATAAAGAAGCTAATGACAGAAGATCAGGGGATGGGGCCTCATTAAGATTGTTATACACAAATGCTGATGGATTAGCTGGTAAGGCAGTAGAATTAAAAGATAGGATTCACAACAGTAAGGCAGATATAGTAGCAATTACAGAGACTAAGTTGAGTGAGGACATAAACAGTGTCACAGTTTTTCCTAAGGGCTTCAGAATACTAAGGGTCGAAAGATCTGAGAGGACTGGTGGAGGGATAGCACTGCTCATAAGTGAGAGGATTCAAGTTGAAGAAATAAACTTGGCTAAAGAAAGTGAGTTCAGGGAATTTCTTGTTGCTCGCATAAATACTGGGTCAGAGAGCATTATAATAACTGTTGTATACAACCCACCAAGGAACCAAAATAGGCTTGAAATTTATGAGGAAAGTCATATAGGTACGATTGAAGTCATAAACTCAGTTGTTAACATGGCACGGGAGAAAAAATGTAGGATTTTGATTATGGGAGACTTTAATCATAAAGAGATAGATTGGATAAATCTTGACCCACACAGTGGTGAGGACTCATTTGGGGCAAGATTCCTAGATTGCGTACAAGGGAATTTCCTACACCAACATGTAATGGAACCAACAAGAGCCAGGGGTGGGGATGAGCCATCACTACTTGATCTAGTGTTCACAGATAATGTGTTGGATATTGAAAATATTGAGTATGAACCACCAATTGGAAAGAGTGACCACTGTGTGTTGTTGATGGAGTATATCATTGAAGACATTCTTCCTGAGAGTAGAGGCACTGAGGACAGGAGGAGGAACTATCCGAAAGGAGATTACATCAAAATGAATGAGCTTTTTGCAGTTATTGACTGGAGAACCTTATTTTACAACAAATCTGTACAAGAAATGTATGACATCTTTTGTGAGAAATATGGGAAGATAGTAGATTGCTGCATACCTGTCACCAAAGTAGGTGTAATTCATGCCAGAGAGAAATGGTTCGATAATGGGTGTAAAAGAGCTAAGGAGTGGAGAGACAAATGCTGGAAAAGGCATAGGAGGAGAAAAAACATAAATGCCTGGCAAACCTACAAAAGAGCAAGAAATGACTACCTAAGTAAAAGGA